AAGTTGCAGAAAATGATATCAAAATAACTTTTACGTAATCTTTCATTAACAACAGTGGAAGCATAAAGATGGATTTAATGCCATGCTAATAAAAATTACAACCCTGCTTGGCATACAGAATTTATACAGATGGTGAGCTGACACCATTTCATTCGTGACTACCAAAAAAAAAACTGATCACTTAGATGCTGCCAACGTAGCATCTGGAAAAATTCTGTCAAAAAATCATACGCACACTTGGTGTTATCCTAAAAATTATTAACCAACAAAAGCAAAAAGAAAGTCAATAAACGTATATTGAAAATAGTTTTTAGGTTTGCAGGATATTAAAGATTCATATTAAATCAGTTCTCCCCACAAGGACCAAATCTTGGTATATTTCCGTATAGGAAGATACAGTCGTACATTGATCATTATAGACGGTGAAAAAATGATGAAAAGAAATGCCAAGAATGATAGAGCTCAATGAAGATGGAGACATACATGGCGTGCCCAATTCTAGTACAAGATAATAATGAGGGTGGCACCTAACTTTGAATAACAACAATTAATCACACTGGTGCTAGAATAATATTCCGTTTCAAATAATCATAACATTTTGCTCGAAAAATTTCACCACAAGCGACTAAATTGAGGTGCTTGAATTGCAGTAAGTTGATGCTACACGAGGAAGAAGCTAAATTTGTTATACCATCGAGCTTTACGTTACACGCATAAGGAGAGGCAATTGACAGAACTTTTTAGTTACAAACTCAGACCAGCATTTTCGTTCGTTTGTTTCTTCATTCAATTTTTGTGTTCCATAAAATGCATTTTAGCAATGTTTAAAAAACGTGAGCAGCAAAGTGATTATTAGTCCCCCACCAATAATAGAAAAATCCAATATGACAGCAAATGCAAAACCCGACAAGATACTTCATCTCAGACAAGAATAAAGACCATCTCACATGCCAACACATGAAAAATCCCACCGTATCCTTGGTAATTTTTCATAAATGTCCATGCTTCTTTATGTGGAATATTCTGTCACAATGTGAATCAAATACATTTTTCTCTCTCTTTTTTTCAATCACATTCTCCAATAAAATTTAATTTTACACATAAACCAAAAAATTTTCCTTTTTTTTAACCACACATTTTTTCAAAAATTATTATTTCAAATTACATTATTTCCAAAATCTCATTGCAGATGTAAATGATGCTCATCGCATTTGCACCTACTTTGACCTCTTTTCATATTGACTTCTAAGTCACCTACCAGTCAATTTGAATGTTAGCTGCAGCTACACAATATGCACGTGGCCCTTCCTCTTTTTTTTTTTTTTTTTTGCTACCTACCTAACGAATTCATATCGACTTCCACAAATATCGTTTTCAAAATCCCTCCTATCACTAGACCAAAAGGCCATAATCAGTTAAATAAAAAAATGAATATTATATGCTCTAATAATAAGCAAATGCTATTTATTTATTATTTGCGTTGTTAAATGCCCATCAAGCCAAAAGTCAGACTGTTACAGCGTAAAGATTAAAGTTGTTATATCAAGCTTTGTGGTCAAGTGTTTTTCCTTCTTCACATTTATATCTTACAATTCGATGGGTCGAAAATAATAATTCTTTAAAAATTCTTAACACTACTGCAAAATCATTATTGATACACTACTAGTTATTTTCAGGAAATATTTCATTTTGATCCATAGGAATATAGCATATAAGCAAGCAAACAATTGGGGCGGTTAAGTGCCTCGTGTACAGTGAACATTTATTTCATTTAACAGTACTTGGTGCAAAATGAAGTAATTTCTTAGCATGTGTACGTGCACGCAATTAAAAAAATTGAAATAAAATGAAAAATTATGAATTAAACTGAGTTGCCGAGAAGAGTTTGACACAATCTTTGACCGGTACTCGCATCCGCATGGGACCAACGTGATGCATGCGTGAATAAAAAATACCAAAAAATGCTCCCATCCCATTGTGAGTGTGACTCTTCTCGCAGCATAGTATGATTGAAAAGTTATTTCTCAACCACACAAGTCCCGTGCTTCTATTCGGAAAGACTTCACTCTATGGCACACCATTATTCCATACATTCACTTGCATAGTTGATAGTTGAGAAAAAAATCCCACAAAGCCGAAGCAAAAACAAGAAAACAAGTCGAAAGAGAAGAAACACAATTAAACGTGGTTCGATAAACCACTGATATCCGTGACAAGAAACTTTATTCATCGAGAAAAACCACCCAATACAATATTCTTCACAATTTCTCCTTGCATAAAACTAGAATGAAAAATAGAAGCCCTTTTCCTAATTGCAAAAGGATTCTCTCTTCAATACAATTCTTCTAAAAATTACCATCTTGGTCCCTTTCCTTAATGAAAAGTATCATTTTATTGTCAAACTTATACTCCTTTTTCTTTTAACAATAGGACTCTTTTATTTTCCAAAATTGGGTCAAACCCAAAAAATATAAGCTAAAGTAGAATTATGAATACGGGGCATGGGAATAAAGAAATGAATGAGGTAGGTGTGTACCATAAATTTGATTTGGTGGGTAGGCAAAATAATAGTAAAAACCTATTCTATCAGAGCAAAACATATGACAAAATTGCGCTACATTCATTTCACGGACGGGCAGGACATATCAGCAGTCAGATCAACATGTTAAAATGAATAAGGAAAATGGTTGTTTCTTCTCATTAATAATTAAGCCTTCAAAGTAACAGGAGGATTGGCTACTTCAGTATATCTAGGAAAACGATAAAATGCATAGGAGATTGCCAATGCATTTTTAGCCAACTCTATCTAGTTCTTATATATTTGAAAATTTTAGTGATTTGAGTAGCTTAGTGCCTTTTTCAGCCACATTTTTATTCAAGAATGCATTTTAGAACAGTAAATTTATGGATAATGTGTAGTTAAAAAATAAAAAAAATATATTTGCATTTATGTATAATATTATTTTATTAAAGAAAATGTCGTTGAAATGAAAAGAGAGGAAAATATATTTTGAAAATAATTAAAAAAACAAATCTTTGACTAGGACAATTATAGCAGCTTATACTATGACAATAGTCATCTTCAGTTTCTCGTGATTTTAACTATTTTCGCTAAAAGACAATCAAAATGGATGTCCAAGAAGATGATAATCCAACTCATAATGTAACCGTAACAAAAATGTTGTAGACCCAATACGTTTAAGATTACGACTCGTGTAGCATAATTGTTGTTCAATTCATTGTTACATAATGGGAATATCCTGTCAAATCAAATAGGTTTCATCTAAATAATATTAAGGCCGTGTTTGAGTCGTATATATTTTTTTAATTTATTTTTAAATAGTGATTTGATGATTTGACATAATTTCAATTTTCAATCACATGTTTTTTATAAAATAATATTATACACAAATCTAAAACTTTTTCTTATTTATTAACCACACATTTCTCATCAACACACTATTCAAAAATGTATTTTTATGAAAATAATGTGGCTCAAGCTAAGGCTACAAGCAAAAACTGCCAAACTAGAAAATCGAATCAAAACCGCATTTTAAAAACCTTCGGTTTGGTGCCACGTGGACCTAGGGGTGGCAAATGGGTCGAGCGGCTCATCGGCTCTCCCGCTCGGCTTGCGAAAACGGAGCTCGTGGACGGCTCGGGCTCGTAAAAACACGAGCCTGAGCGCGAGCCGAGCGGGCCGATTCGGTGGGCGAGCCGAGACGAGCCGCTCGTTTGGAACGAGCCACGAGCCTGGCTCGTTTTGAAATGTGATCGAAACAGTCACTGAGTGACCGTTTCAGTTCCTCATTAATTACTATTATTATTATTTATTTTTTTTTGACCGTTAACGGTCACTGAATTTTTTCAGTGACCGTTTTGGTCCTTAAATTTTTTTTTTTCCTTTTCTTCTATAAATAGTGGCATTTAGCCATAAATTTTTTTATAATTCTCTCAACTTTCAATTATCTTTCTCTCAAGCTTCTTGTATTGTGTTGATAACTTGCAATTTTTATATACAATTTATACAATATCCAATTCTCATTTCTCA